GACTGATATTTGCAAACAGAACAGTCAAGAGTGAAACAATTGACTGATATATTGCAAATGAAGTATTCACTGCATGGATCCTGATACTTTGATTTCGTGCAAAAAAAAAAAAAAGAACAATCTGATTGACCTGCTCTCACATCATACTTTTATTATAGATTTTATCAAATATTTAGTACATGCAAACAAGTTAGATCATATTATTGTTTTGTCATTCAGATCAAAGGTGATTCGATATGAGACACGTTTTCTTTTATTCTTATGTATTTGTGTATGTTAAAAAAACGTGACATTTTTGTATTTTTTTCAAAATGTGAACGAGTAATACAATTTGTAATAATTTAAAACTTATATTTTAGAAATTTCTAATAGTTCAATTCATAAGTCAATTGAAGCTAGATCATCATGGAAAACCTGGAAGCACTGGACGACCGTTTCATTCTAGTATAAGAGAGACTTTGATAATTAAAAGTATTTGAATTATAATACAAACTAGGAATATCAGAAATAATGCAATTAGATCAAGAACTACTACATAAGCACGAAAGAATTTATTGTATTTGAAATATCATGCATTCAACAAGTAGAAAGGAATTATTAGTTCATACAAACATTACATTCACCACAGCTTAAATGTGAATCTAAATTTCTGCAATCAATTGTGCTTTACGTTTATCGTGTCTGTCGGACCGTGTATTAGATGTAAACTCTGTATAATCTAGAATATGCTCATTAGTATTAGAATTAACAACTGAAATTGGAACCGAGTCATTTGGGTCCTGGAATTGTATACAATCACCATGTCGATTGTGTACTGATACCACTGATATCTAGAATTCGAACCATAGATATTCCAACACTGTCCTCCCTCACAAAATAATGTTGGATATTCATATCCTCAAATTATGAATGATATAGCTTCATTTGAAACATATTTCTCACACTGACTAGAGTATTCATTAGAAATGATATCATGATAAGAAGAAACAACAGTTGATATGAAATCATCCGAATTGTAATCAAGATCGAGTACATTTAGTACTTGTACTTTGTATTGAATAAGTTCCCCAGGACAAACAAATGAATGATGGGGACAAATAATATTTGATATAACATCAGGATTTGATTCTTCTGTAATATTTTTCTCAAATTTATTAAAAATGCCATTGGTGAGTAATGGATCATTAGAAAAATTAGCATCTATCCAAATTGCATTAGATTTTCGATCATGATTTGATTCATTCATCATATTTTCCTCAGATTTATAAGAAATTTCATCAAAAATTAAGATAAACCATAACATGGGAAATCTGATAAGAAGTTGATTGATTAGAAACTTTTATCTCACAATGATTCTGAGTTTCAATTAACTCTGGATTGTTATGTGACTATATCACTTTTTGAAGTCGCGGATAAAGATAAATGATCATTAAAAACATCCAAAATAATAGGATCACAATTACAAACTTTATCATTAGTTGCAGCGGAATGAACCTTAGTATTACAAACTAACTGAATGTGTCCAATCTTACCACATTTAAAATCACGAAATACACATGAATAAATGAGTGAAACCTGACACAGGACAAACATTGACAAAACTTGTGTCCATCTTCCTGACCAGCATCGCAACTTATCAATGAATTATCTGCATAAACCTGAGTACGCACTGGATTGGGATGACGTAGTAATGTAGTGGAATTTTTGTTGTCTTGATAAGTCATTTTACGAAATTTTCCTCCTTTACCGCTTTTGGAATTTGTACACTTAACATAGTCTAGCAGTAATTCCTTGAGAGTTGCATAAGGAAGTGAAATACAATTTTCTAGTACAGGCAGAGTTTTCAATAAGCTATACGCTTCTCTTCCAATGAATTTGAGGAAATGTGCTACAATATTAACACACTCAACATCTTCCTTGATCACAGTCTAGATTTCGAATCTTTCCAAGTAATCCTCAAAAGCATCAAAATCAGAATGTATGTCCAACCATTCCATCACAGGCTTCATCGCGATGCCAATGTGATAGAAGTATTTGAACAATAGTACAAACTAGGAACCCGATAAATAACGCAATTGGTTCAAGATGTACTAGAATTCGAAATCCATGCAGTAATCATACTAATAGTTGCAACCTGATCATCAGAGGAAGTCTAAAAAGAATAAATCTTCGATTTAAGCTAACACCAGCAATCATCGATTTAACAGGTTGATACTACTTTTTGACGTATTTACTACATAACTTTGCATAAGACCAATTTATACACTAACAAGTTGAGTTTATTAAATCCGCCTGAAGCATTTGATAGCGTGAACAGAACAGCACTTTGGAGACATCTTCGACATTACGGCGTACCTGAGAAGATAGTCAATATCGTGCGGAATTCCTATGATGGATTAAACTGCAAAGTCGTGTATCGGGATAGCTCACAGATTCGTTCGAAATAAAGACCGGTGTCAAGTAAGGTTGCTTACTCTCACCCTTTCTCCTAGTGATCAACTGGATCATGAAGACGTCAGTAATTGGGGGGGGGGAGGAAACATGGGATATAGTGGACAGCTAGGATGCAGCTGGACGATCTAGACTTCGCAGATGATCTGGCCCTACTAACCCACACGCAACAACAAGTGCAGGAAAAGACAACCAGTGTGGCGGCAGCCTCAACAACAGTAGGTCTCAACATGCACAAATGGAAAAGCAAGATTCTCCGATACACCACATTTATTGTATTTGCTTGTAGAGCTAGAGGACAAACCAGCTTCTAGCTGAAGAGGAAATTAAGAAAAGACGTTGGAAATCGATGGGACAGACATTGAAGAAATCATCAAACTGCATCATGAGGCAAGCGCTAACTTGAAATCTTGAAGGGAAGCGGAAAAGAGGAAGACCGAAGAACACATTAAATTGGGAAATGGAAGCAGAAATAAAAAGGATAAACAGCAACTGGAAGGATTGACCAGGGCACGGTTGGATAGTACTGGTAAGCGGCATATGCTCCTCGACGAGGAGTAACAGGAGTAAATAAGTAGGTTTATAAAGTACGAAGGAAACAATGATTGTTCCCTGAAGGAGCTTACATTAAGTCAAGGAACGTGAGAAATACAACTTTCTACTCATTGAGATATAACAAAAAATATGTATTTATTATTTCTACTCAATGCCTAACTTATTTGAAACTATCAAGTTTAACCTAAGCACTGATACCGAGAAACTGGTATTTTAGTTTTTCTTTAACTTAATGGTTTCACTGTTTGTTGTAAAGAAGTGTCACGAATCCTATCAACTAGATTATGAAGGGGATTGTTGACGAATAATAGTACTTATTCGAGAAAAATTCATGTTTAGAATATTATTTTCACTAATTGCACACGTTGACTACAAAATGCAACTACGTCTGTAACATTTTACTTACTCCCTTACTGAATTTAGGTTTATTTAACGCTCTCTGAGGCATATTTTGTGGACGCTTGAAATGCTACCTTAATAACCAAACTGATGTGGATGAGGCGATATCTGAATTCCTGAACCACTAGATGAATACTTTCACCAAGTAGCAATTATTCCCGAATGACTCAACAGAAATAACTTCCAACTATTAATTCATAAAGCAGATGCGTTTACAACCACTGGATTGAACAAAATGGCAGTTGTCGACAGATGTTTTTAGGGGGAAACTTGGGAGAATATGTTGCAGCCTCTAATTCATAACACACGTACGCCATTTATTGTAACGTTTGAACAGATAATTTATATTGCTTTCCAGTCTTTGTGTCCATATAATTGGATAAATCTCTCGTGCCTATAAATGCCATGTTATGTTTTCATTAAGTTGAGGAGGCCTGCTCGCCTTCTCTGATCCGCTTCTATTCTCTTATATGTTTATATTATAGGATGTGTGCAGTGTAGGTATTCAAGATCATTCTCGTATTTGACTTGTTTTGTCCCAATGTTCACTAACGCGAATTAAGTTGATAAATATGCACAAAGGTAAGCGGGTTATATATTAAGTTAACACAATCATCCGATCGTAATGAAGTCAGACAACCGCGGGCACCAAAATCGACACTTTAATACACCTACCATCGAAGCACACATTCAAGCTACCAAACTAAAATAAAACAAATGGATTCCTGAATGACGAAGATTTGTGACCCAAGTGAACTGTGGGTTGGTTAATTTAGTTGTTGACGTCTTATTATCATTTTGAACATCATACTTCATGCTAAAGACTACAGTGACATCTACCGTTAGGTAAGGCATCATGGGACTCACACTACGAATGGTGAATTTACAATGATAAGCCAAAAGTCTATACACAATCACGCTTTTTGCGCTTGAGTCATCGTCAGCTGGTGCAAGATTGAAAAATTCGCTCTTCTTTGTCATCTCGTTAATTGTTTAAGCTAATAATTATTCAGAGACTATCACAAGTTCGGCTGATTACTACTTCATATTGAGTTCATGTTTTCTTTCAAGTAGTTCGCTACGGGTCATAACAACACCTAAATCACTACGACCTATCAATAAATGATAACTTGAAATCGTAGTTGGATTTCACTATTGTAATAATCCAATCAAGCTATACCATACTAACTAGAATGGTTGGAGAACAGTAAAAGTAAAAGCGACAATCTAAGATCTGAGGTTGAGTTCTTACCACTAACTGTAGAGAGGTATGATGTTCCCTTACATAAATAATATCTCTAAAGATGAAGAAGGGCTAGAAAAGATCTACATTTCTTTTGCCCCACGAATTTCTACCATCGATGGGAAGTTATTGAAAGTACTGAGCTAGCACATTGTGAACTCATAAGTATTAATTGTCTTACTTTTCTTCACAAAACCCTTCAAGAAGAAGTATTATTTCATGATGTAAACGATAGAGAGCTCACAAAGGACATCATAATTTTAACAGCTCTAAAAGAATCATAAATGACAACTGAATATCAAGAAAAATAGACATTCGTAAAGTATATATATATATATATATATATATATATATATATATATATATATATGCACACCGATGGAACAATAATCATTCATAATGTTTCTTTTTGACAAAAATATACAACATAAAAATATACTCGAAATCACTAAGACCAAAGATGAAAATAAATAACCAAATGAAACTATATTGTTTTGTCAAAGACTTTATGGAAACAAAGAAGGGAAGAATGAAAAAAAACAAACAAACAACAATAACAACATGAAATCAATGAAAAGAATCTTGTCATATAAAAAGCAGCATATATATGGGGATGGGCAGGCAAAGTGTAAGCTGTACAAAAATAAAACACAATTATCTATCACAGATGACAATGATAAACAATGAATAGAAATAATAAAGAGGAAAACTTTATACAATTATAAAACTGTAAAAACAAAAAAGAAACAGGGGGTGGTGTGTGGATCACGTATTATGGATGTAGATTTATTTGTATACAATTTTTCATTGTTATATGTATGTGCGTGTGTATATGAAGAAAGAAGGGTTACAATTCAATGGTTAAATACAACACAAATATTTCAATTATTTAATTATCATCTTATGAATGGAGAGAAATTTAGTTAATCCAATAACAATTATTAAGAAAAACAAACAAACAAACAAACAAACAAAAGAAACAGAATTAAAAAAATTTTGTTCAAAAAAAATAAAATAAATTAGTGAACAAATAGTAAAAAGAAAAAAAAAAGAATATTTATCATAAATTATATTCAATCTATTTTATACAATTTTATTGTCTACAATCAATATTGTACGTTCGTTTACAATGGATGATGGTAATAGTGATGAAGAAGTACTAGAGGATGTAATATGTACGATAGACGATGATGGTGTACGATCAACATGTTCTTCTGTATCATTATTATTATTATCAGAAAGATGAAGTGGAGAAGGTGATGATAAATGGTCATTGCTCATTGTTTTATTTGTAGATTTTTCATCTAAGTTATTTGATGAATGTGATGTAATAGGAGTAGTAGAAGTAGTAATAGTAGTAGTAGTAGTAGTAGTAGTAGTATCGGTTAATGTACGATTTGTAAAAAACAATTCATTTGTAATTGATGATGATATTGTATTACCATTATTACTATTATTATTATCATTATTATTATTGTTATTATTACTATTATTATTATTAAATGGTGTCTTTGGTGATAAACTTAAATAATTAGTAGTAACTGTAGCGGATTTATTAGAAATAATACGTTTATCATTAAATTCATCTATACCTAAACGTTCATTGTTTGAAGATCCAATTGCTACATTACCACCACGTGATACAGCACCATTAATATTTGGTTCTGATGAACATTTATGTAATTTTGGTAATGAACGATATAATGAATCTAAACATGGATAAATCTATATAATGATATAATTGAAAGAAATAAAAGAAAAACAGGACCTCAGTAAATAAACTCATTAGGAATAATGTAACAAAAATAATATTTACAGCTGAAATGGAAATAATTCGATAGTTTACTAAATTTCTTTGATAAATAATTTAAAGTTGATTAGATGGATAGTAGTTAGCAGTGGAATCCAGTTTGACGCGTGTTTCGTCTTATCTTGGAACTCGTCAGTTGGATTTATCTGCCTCCCAGAATTGACTTTCACTCTAGGACTCGAACCCAGTACCGTTAGCTTCAAACGCCATCCACTTAGCTACTGAATCTTGACACAAGTGAATTTGGTCAGATTATATTTGAGAATAGTTTGCATTAAGAATTGGACTAACTTCAGACAAACAATTTAACAAGTACTATGAGAAGAATTATTAGAAGTGAGAAGCCATGACTAGTTGTATCTAATCACGAGATAAGGCATTACTAACAGTAATGGATGGTATTAGTAGAGTATTATGGGTTGATTAAAGATAGTGCATTCGTTATTTATAAAAGTTATGTATTACAGGTTTGACGAATACTATACAATGTGACGACTGTTAAGATTATAAGAATTTCAGAGAATTTCTGTAGGTTTGGTTCTAAATTAATCAACATAGATCGAATATATCAATTTATATAGGAAAAGTTAACCAGCCATAAAGTGAGAGGTCAATCAAAAACAAGATGGTCAGTAGGAGTGTAAAAACAAGTAAAGAAAATAAGACCATCAAAACGAACTAATTTAGTATTCGTGGAATTATGTTGCATAGAACGATAATGAAGACTTAGGAATAATGCCATTCAATGCATAAAACAACAACAAGCTCTATGAAGTTATCATTGTCGAAATATTGCAGAGTAAAACAGAAAACTCTTTTTCTAAATCTGTTCAAAATTAACACGGAAAAACCTTACACTTAATGGTTCATTGGTTAACAAATAAACACTCTTGTAATGACATTTTAAATAACGTTTGATTTATGAAAATTTTCTTCTTCTCATCGATATGTTGAGTGATTTTATGTTATTTTTGTACTCAGCTTTAAACTATACAGCTTAAATAAAGTGGAGTTAGAATGTTTAACGTAGTGATTGAATGTCAGTAGTTTTGTGCTAGACACGATTATAGAATTGTAGATTGATTAGTCTATGATGATCCACAGTACATCCAGACTATTTCGTTGACGTTCGTGTGATTATCGTGACCAATGTTTGGAAACATTGAGTGTTATGACTTAGAAATGATCAAAATACTGCAGATACATTCACTCTTTATCTTCTCTTAATTCCTGAGTTTGCAAACTATTTCACACCTTTCATGCTGCAAATTTATTCTTCCCTCTGAAATTGTATAGTCTATACCAAATCTTTCCAACTACCAATGATACTGTTACTACTTCTACTATTTTAGCGTCCATCTCCCAGTTGGTATAGACCAATGTGCGTATGCTCTCACAAGGCCACATGTATACAGTCGCTCCCAGGGAAGTCCTACTCACTGTCTTCTCGCACCACGGGCGTTGTTTACAAAATTGAGAGGACGAAAAGCGAATGTCCGGCACTTTAACGAGGTTGGTGGATACGAATGATGCACCTAGGGGAGTTGGAAAACGCTGATTTTAAACCAGTGAACATTGGCTGCAGGGTCTTAAGAGAGCAAATGGCGTATGAACCTGTTTTTGTTCACTAGCTACCATCAGATTACATCTCCTTACGTTACTCCACTGCCTTAGGGATCAGACCTTTAGGTTGAAGGCACCAGGTATGACCCTCTAAGAAAGCCACCTGCTTGGGTCTAGGTACCCGGGCAGTATCACAGGCCACACACAAATCAAGTGACTTTTACGGCGCATATGTATTTAGTGCCCTCTTGTACCAATGTTTATGTGTTCAAATAAATAAAATGCATGTTTTATATTGTTGATGATTGATTGACAATGTGACATGAACTAATTATATGGAATACAAATTTCCACAAAATTAAGCTAAACTAAAAGTTGTTTATTAATTAGATTTTAGGTAAACATTGATTGCGAAAAAGTTCATATACACAATAAAACCATGAAAATTAATTAACATTAAAACAATGAAAACAGTGTTTAATTTACCTGAGAGAATGGTGGTCGATTTTCACGTTGAAAACTGCAACAATCTAATGATAAACGTTGTAATTGATGAGGAATATCTGCACGACATACAGTTAGATCAGGTTTTAATAAACCTCGACCAACAAGAAATAGAATTTGATCACGATTATTATAATGAGAATAAGGTAGTTGACCAGTAATCAATTCGTAAATCACTACACCATATGCGTATACATCTGAAAGATTAGTATACGGTGTTTCACCTTCCATACGAATAACTTCAGGAGCCTAATAAAAATAAATGTTAAAGGATGACACGATGAATAAGATGAAGTAAATCAACTGTTTATAGGTAATGTAACAAGTGAAAATGTGAATTAGTCTTTAAATAAGCCCGTATTATTATTATTATTATAATTATTCTACTTACCATCCAAAATATAGATCCAGTTGGTTGTTGACAACCAGTATTCCACCAACGACTTTTTACTGTGGCCAAACCAAAATCTCCAATTTTCACAGTACGATCATGTAAGAATATATTACTTGACTTTAAGTCACGATGTATTATATTCTTAGCATGTAAATAACTAGAGAATGAATACATGAAAAGGTTTTAATAGGAAATAGGAAAAAATCATTGGAGTATTTCAGTCATAGAGAACTATTAGTATAGGCAAGTGGAGTGTTGTGGAGATTATTTAACTCTTCATTTTTACATTATAAACTGATTTGAATTAGATAACCATGCTGGAAACAAAACAAATGTCCAGTGCCTCCTGGATTTTAGTCTTTTTTGAGCAAATTCGGTCTATCATGTGAAACCATAAAAGTTTCATTGGATTATATATATTTATACATTCGAATGATAAGTCCGCAGGTTGGAATGAAAAGTGTCTCCTTCAGAGCCACTTTAAAATTAAGTTTTACTGTTTCACGACAGAGAAATTTAATCGCTGATTAATGTAATGCATCCAGTTGGAGACTGAAAATGAAACTATATATATATATATATATATATATATACAGTTAATTCATAATAGATAAAATTCAATAGATTATAGATGCACTATTACACTGTCATCCAGTGGTAAGCGATTCCTGCCGATAGCCTCTAACAGCCTAACATCTCACAGTTGTGTGCGCAATGTCGAATAATAAAGATTAGTACTTATATTGGAACATGATTGGTAAAATCGGATCATCACTAAAAAAACTCAAAAAAAAAAAACATGAGCAGTCAATGTAAATATCTCAGTCTTACAAGTCAGTCGTAGCTCCAATGACCCAGTAGGAATGTTTCAGATCACAAAGCTGGGTCACCCCTGTTCGAATCCACTAATTATTAGTTTAGTTAAGACTGTGCCAATTAAAATTAAACCTAGGTTTAGAGTTTCCTGTCGACCATCTTAAACCACCTGATATTTTAAATGGTCCCGTCAAATGGTTCCAGGCTGATGTAAGAGACGCTTTAACTGTGAGGTAAAAAGCTTTCGAATTAGGCGCCACACTACGTCGATTCCCGAGGATACACTAAAAGATTCCATCATCCACTCACTGTCAACTGGAGTGGGAAATAAACTTCTTGTCATGTCAAACAGTTGCAGGCTTCGTGCTAAAATTATTGAGGAATATTCGTGTTGCGTTCACAAATGAGTTGACATTTCGATTTGCGTAGCTAGTGAACTGGGAATCATATTGTTATATCGCATGATAACCTTTGCCTGTAATTTAGTCGAAATCTTCTAAGAAGGAATCAAGCTATCTAGATTTGCTGTTAGTAAATTGCGATTCTAGTGAATAATTAAGTCCTTGATAGCTTCCAACTTATTATATCACGCTGTTAACCTTTTCTATTTTCTGAATAGTTATTTTCCATTTTGGTATCCTACTTTGTCACACGTTCACAATGTCATTGTTATTACTATGTAAACAGAATTATTATATTACATTACGACTTAGCTTAGATGTGAATGAAGGTAGTTGACAAAAAACTTTGGATCTAGGTTTCGTAGTATATGGCAAGCATTAACAAGGAATATCTGTCATTTTGTGGGGAAATCTATTGTCTGGTGGACACGGTCCAGAACTACTCAGCTTCAGTCTTAAACATTACCACTGAGCTATTCGGGTCGTAACTGATCACCTGTAGGACTGAGATATTTACAACTGATTGACCAGTGATTGGTGTCATGTTATGATAAATATGACATTGTCCACTACTCAATGATCAATCGATTGTATGTTACGACTCCATTTTGAGAAAAATAAAGCTCCTTTAAAGGTTTCATCTTATCACTCTCTTTTTGTTGATTCGCGTGTGGATTATTAACATTGACATGTTGTTGCGTATTAATCGTTCACGTAGATTCCGTTTTATATTAGAAGAATATCCTAATAGTTCAAAACCTATAATAAAATGATTTTGGATCATTCAAATACAGTATAATTCTAATCATTCAATCAGTCAAGTGTCAAATATAATTCACGTGGTAAGTATTATTTCATTTATAAATTATTTATACACAATATGCTAGGTTTTGATAGGTGACTGAATTATATTTAGATTAGCGCTAATTGCAGTGACAAAAATGGTAAGAATTGTATCGAGGATAAACATTCTTAAATGATGAGGAAGTTCTAGGTAAAAATACTTCAGAGAAGGTCTCAAAGCATGATATCAATAGAAACAATGACATATATCTAATTCGTCATGTTATAAAGAGAATGCCAACCACGTGGCGAAGGTCAACAGGAGTAAGCAGTTAACGAGAATTAAGAGGCATGGAGCTAACACGACGCGAACAGATACTCCGTTGCAAACAAGGTGACCAGAACGACCAACTGATTTAGAGTTTGTTGAATGGTTATTAGACAAGTTAGGGAGGTCAGTGCCTAACACAAACTGGTGAAAACAATACAAAGTTACTTACATCAGTCGATTTACAGTACACATACAGGTAAACAACATATAAAGACGACAAATCCACTACAAAATGAACAACTTACTCCATTCCCTGTGATGTTTGCTTGGCAATATCGACTAGTTCTGGAACATCAAAACGATGCTCTAACACATGAAGATGTTTATACAAACTGGACCCTTCACACCATTGAGTGATGATAGCTATACATGGTTTAGAGACACAACCCATAAATAAAAGAATATTTTCGTGTCGTGTCTTTCTAGAATTAAAATGTTAAAAAAAATACAAAATAAAGTGAAGAAACAAAGAAATTTTCAACCAAAAAATAACCAAAATCAGTGGTTAACACTACTTCTTAATCATTAGGGAAATTAGTGATTTGTTACTAAGCCCACATACTATTGTCTGTTCTGACAAGCTGTACAAGTCATATATCGTACCAAAGATATGTTATTTAACATCTAGGATAACTTGACTGCCTATTACGCTATAAAGCGGTCTATCAGTAGTTAATAGTATGTAGATTTCCCAAATTGGAAAATAATCTTTACCATGGACTGATAACAATAACAAATGAATAATTTAGACTGAAAATTAAACAAGAACGTGTGATTTTTCAACAGTGATTTTCAAAAAAAAATTAGTTACCTCAATACACTGACTTCATTTTTGAAAGCTTTCAATTGTTGTGGTGTAGGATCAACAACGTTCAATTCTTTAATAGCAACATTTCCATGCCAATAACCTTTAAATACAGTACCAAATGATCCAGAACCGATTCTTGGACCTTTAGTAATTTCCAGTCCATTTATCTCCCATTCATCATTTGAACCACGTCTCTAGAGATGACAAATATAATTAAAATTAGAAGGTACGTAAATTTACATCCACACGGAAACGATGAGTATAAGACAAAAAGAAAGTGGAAATACATGAATATACATTGATTTACTCAGTTTTTCAATTAAAAATTTTAAACTAAAACTGGGGTTTATCTTGCATGAAGTCTAATAAATGAAAGAATACTAATGAATAAAGTCAGTCCCAACGTCAAACCTGGTACGTATGCACATTGGTTCAAGTTGCCATACCTCGTTAGCACAGAGAGATCAAGTTGTCAGGCCAAATCCCAGAATAGTAGAGGTAGAAACAGTATCAGTAGTAACAGAAAATTTTAGGCATTGAAGATGAGATTCGAAATATAAACTAGTGAAATATAAACACAAAAAAGGTTAAGAGGGATTCAGAAGCTCAGAATTTGGGGGAAGACAAAGAATGGATGCACCTGAGTCATTGCAAACGATTCTGAGCCATGGTATTCAAAGTCTCAAACTATTGGTTATAATAATTACATGAATGAAGTTAGACTGTTGTTTTAAAGAAGCAACAAACTAATGAACTAGTGATGAATTTAATATATAAGATAGTTGAATATAATCGACAGACAGTCGATTATAATCAAAGTAGAACCTGGTACATATGTGTATCGATTCACGTTGCCACACCATATCAATACAATGAGATGAATTCATCAAGATAAATTCCAGAGTGGTAGAAGTACCAACCGTATCAATGCTAAAAGAAAAGATCAGGCATGAACAATATGATATGAGAAAAAATAATGAACTTTCAAAATAGAAAGTATAAGACAAAAAGTGGATGAATTTGCACAATTGTGACGATCTTTCAGCCACGCCACTCAACGTCTTCAACCATTGAGTTAAGATAATCGCGAGGAATCCAACCAGATAATCTGAACTTATCAAAATAACTCAGGCCTAAAGTTAAAAATTTCATGAACTGATGCCATGTGTTGTATTAACTACACCTAGATTTCGACAGAAGATTCTAGATATGAGGCTTTATGTTAGCTGGAATTCATTTGGAAGATAACTTTCTTTAGAAATTTCAGAAAATTGATGCTGAAAACCTATCAAATGTAGGTTCAAGTACTACTCAGCTTTGAGTCAAACTTTCTCAAAACACAAGTACAAGAAAGAGCTAATATCAATATCCGTCTAAGTTGGAGTGGATAGAATAGTGTTTGAATCGACTTGAAATAAATCAAATACATTAATTACTCCATTGCACCGCTCTAGGAAGTTTGGTCCCTGAGATCATCGATGTGATACAAGTTTGGGGAAGGATGACGATCATGTTCTTGAGTGAAAAAGTTTGATTTTCATTGATTCATGAACATTTGCAATGTTAGAGATAGACATAGAGCATTATCGAAAGATGCTAAATCGATTGATGAGGCAGCAAACTTTCGTCTATGGAGGTGGTTGGGACATAAATTACATATGACCAACTACCACCTGCCTCAACATGCGACATTTACTGGTGTAGAAATAATTTAGAAGGAAACTAGGGGCAGCGAAATAGTGTGGCACTAGTCTAAGAAATCACTAACGATTGGACTAAGCCGTGGAGATATATGTAGATTACTTGGTTAGGATTGTGTGATTATCGTAGGTAATGGTTGGCGACTTTAGATGATATGCCTCAGAAGCACTTGCAGTGGCGCTATGTTAATGGTGTTCGGTAACTTGAACTGATATACATGTGTGCCAGGTTTTACGTTGTGCATGACTGACTCACAACTAACTCCCTCTAAAATAAATCAATGATGCTAGTATATGATTCTAAACATTCACACTGATTAACGAATCAATGGAAAAACTTAATATGTGGTATATTGCATGAATGTTCATACATAACTATAATCAAAACTCTAATTTTTTTCTTGTAAATATTAAAGACTCAATAGAAACACAACGTCAGTATGTAGTTTTTAGCTAGTTTTTGAAAATCAACGAGCTGTTTAATTTCAGCATGGAACATTCTTGATCAATGTATAATGTTGTCTGATAATGAACCAGAATCTTGATACATCCTCCTTGACAATAATATTTTTTGTGCACAAACAAAACTTCATTGATGTACATATATAAACATTAAAAAAAGAGAATAAAAATTTACATTTTTTACTTTGATAGATTGTTTTGGATCACTGCCAGATCTTTGATTATATGGTATAGATAAATTTGATAGAAAACAACCATCAGTGGGAATTGACGGACTTTCCGGTACTCCATTACCAGCTGTATAATTATAATCTATGTAAAATAAATGAACAAAAATAAAATGAAAATATACGACGACCTTGAGAGACCTACCAGCCAATTAGGAAACAGGATTTAGGCATAAAAAATTTGACGATAAATAATAAAATTTCAGTGAAATAATAGTTTTCATATTGATTAATTAACCCTTCAATGTTGAAATAATCATTACAATAAATGAGGAAAAGAGTTAGGTTTACATTTTAAAAGTTAAGCTAATGTTGTGAGTTAAGTTTGTAATCCTATAGGGTTTCTGTCACTAACCTATGTAAGCTTGGATGAGGTAATAAGTACCAAGCTGAAGTTACAAGTTGGAATTAAGATTAGGGCTTTCATTACAAATTAACATCAGTTATAATGCGACGAAGCTTTACAGTCATTTTGTTTATGTACTTAATAAATGTAGAGCTGTTACTTAAAGTGAGTAGCACGAGTACAAGATTACTATCTGGTTAAAAAAAACACTTGACCGTGAATTAAATTAAATCAAGTAATTCAATATACAATCTGCATCAAGAGTAAGTATTTAGCTTAAACACTATGTTATATTGACTAAAGAGGTAGGTTGATTATGAATACAGTGGTCTTGAGTGCTGTTAGAGGTATGAGGGCGGTTATCACTTCCCGGTTGCCCACACCGTGGAAGGGTTCTGCTGGAGGCACCTGAAAAGGAAATTGGATTAGAGGTGGTCTTAGTGACTCGAGAGCGTGACCGCAGTGCCCAAGGGACAGCTGCTTGAGGTCGGTCACACACGACCTTTTTAAGAGTAATTTTTGTGTTAGCTCCGTACTTGTTGAGACCTTACCGCCGGAGACGGATATCCGTGGGATAAGGCGAGGTGTGCATTTTTAGGGTCGACCTTCTCTAACCCCTCCCCTCCTTTTGGGAAGGCAGCATCGCTGTTATGCTGGTTGTCTGAAGGAAACACCTTACTGCTGTCACACCTCTGTACAGTCAGCAGTACGACTTCGCCTTCGGACCTTGGTTTTGTTGCTATTAGTCTTACCGCTCTTCAACCGACCTGTCTGGCATGGTAGGACCTTGAGGAACGGTTGTTCCAGCCAGTATAGCTCAGTTGCTTCATCACGATAGGCAAGCCCGACCACCACGTCAAGGTAGCAACAACGGTCAGGGTCAAAATCATCCTGTGACAACTACAGAGGGATTAGTTTAACTAATATAATATCTAAAATACTAGCTTCGATAATTATCGGACGCCTAACTAAGACTCGTGAGCTGCAAACACGTGGCTTCAGACCTGGTCGTGGCTGCATCGACCACATATTCACCATTCGTCAGGTTCTAGAACACAGGCATACTTATCGGTGTCCGACAATGGTGGTCTTCCTTGACTTAAAAGCAGCGTTTGACTCTGTTGACAGAGAGGTTCTGTGGCAGTGTCTGTCATTGAAAGGCGTACCTCAGAAGTACATAAACCTTGTGAAGGCTCTTTACTCGAACACTACTAGTAGAGTCAGAGCTTATGGCGAACTGTCATCTGCTTTCGCAACCTCAAGTGGCGTCCGTCAAGGCTGTCCACTTTCTCCTTTTTTGTTTAACTTTATCATAGACATCCTGATGGAAATAATGCTCTCATCGACTGAATTCTCGGGTATTGATCTCCTACCAGGAGGTCCACTTATTGACTTAGAATACGCAGATGACATAGTCCTGTTTGGTGAAGACGCTGATGAAATGCAGAGTCTTTTGGTAGCACTGAGCAACAATGCCACAATGTTCGGGATGCGCGTCTCTCCCTCTAAATGCAAGTTGTTGCTTCAGGACTGGTCTGCGTCAACACCTGAACTAAGGATAGGGAGTGAAGTAGTCGAACGCGTCGACAACTTCACTTATCTTGGAAGTCTGATCAGCCCTAATGGGTTGGTGTCTGACGAAATCTCAGCACGGATTCGAAAAGCTCGCTTGGCCTTTGCCAACTTACGTCATCTATGGCGAAGGCGAGATATCCGTCTATCAATTAAGGGACGAGTATACTGTGCAGCAGTTCGTTCCGTTCTACTATATGGCTGTGAAACTTGGCCTTTAAGAGTAGAAGATATTCGTAAGTTACTAGTATTTGACCACAGGTGCCTTAGAAATATTGCGGGTATCTGCTGGGATCACCGGGTAAGTAATAGTGAGGTTAGACACAGGGTATTAGGGAATGATGGTAAATCAATTGATGAGGTTTTGAATCTTCATCGACTAAGATGATTGGGCCACGTGTTGCGTATGCCTGAACACCGATTACCACGACGCGCAATGCTGACTAGTGCAGGGGATAATTGGAAGAAAGTTAGGGGCGGCCAAACCAAAACGTGGCATCAGTGCTTGAAGTCACTAACTTCTGGTCTGAGCCATGTTGGGAGATTCAGACTGCCTGGTTGGGGTCTTCGTGACTATCGTAACCAATGGTTGGAGACTCTTGGTGACATGGTTCAGAATCGATCACAATGGCGTTAGTGTATACACTCTCTGTCTTCCTTTAAACTAAGAGATTAAAATCGCTTCAAATCTTTCTTTCTAGGAACTAATTCTTTCTTCCTTCACTATCTCCTTATATGCAATCTTTCTTCTATATATTACCACCATTGAATTAACTACTTTTATGAATCCGGTGTTCATCTTGTTGTGCTAATGCGGTATGGCAACTTGGACCGATGCATATACGTGCCTGGTCCTACGTTGCAGCTGACTGACTGAATGATGTTATATTGACTGTTTGGTTACGTAGTAAATATTTGTTTGTCTTAAGAACAAAAGGTGTTGCCAATTTTCACACAATCAATAATAATATACAATATGTTTGACTGCTAAAAATTCCTCGATGCACTATCGCAATCCTGACTGGTTCACTCAAGGCCGTCAGTACCGTATAGTTTCAACGAAAATTATTTGTCATGTTAAGTAGATAGATGTTAGCAGCACAGAGATCCGATTAAAATAAGGCGTCAAACAGGATCATGTTGAATCACGCTGATTGATCCGATCACTGCTAGTGAATACACCGAAAACTCTAAAAATTTTCCTGTGTAAAATTATATATATATATATATATATATATATATATATATATATATATATATTTAATGGTGAAATGTAGTAAACGAGAAAATACTTACTTGTAACTGGATATACAATGTGTAAAGGGGATCCTTGAATAATTTTATTTGCCTCTCGCTAAAAAAATTGTATATATAAGTAGAGGGTAGAAAACATAACAGCATAAACTGAATCTGAGGTTAAAATGAGAAAATTATTCAGAACCATGTCCCATGAACAAACAATTTTAATATCATGTATTACAACTAAACACACTTGTGTGAGCACACATAAATAACTCAATAAATGTAAAACAAGTTTCCTAATTGAGCAGAAATGTGTAAATCAATAACCAATTACCCAAACGAAATGTTTCAAACAAAACAACCAGAAAAAGGTAATATTTTACAAAAAACTACACAGTTGTGTCAAATAAAACCAATGACGTGGTTCTGTGAAACCTACTGAGGAATCCATTGAAGCACAGAATGACCGCACCCGACGTATGCCAAAATATGTAGTTGTTGAGAGAGATAGTTTTGATGTATGATCTGGGCACAAATTTTGGTTTTGTGAATATAATCTTTCAGGTAGTAGTAGGATTTTGTAGTCTTGTGAGGTTGGTTCTTGTTTATTAGAAGATAAATTATGTGTTTTACGTGAAAGACTACGAAGACTGGTATTATCTATATTCAGAGGATTCTCAGGAAAAGCTTCGTACAATGAGCATGATGTAGATAGTTGACTGGTTGTTGAGAACGTTTCTTTAGAAGTATTTTTTGTAGGAGGGAGAAGGGAATGAAGACCGATTAGTTGGCAATTTTCATAGATACCGGATGATGACTTACTACTATTACTACTACAACTACTAACATGAAGCTTTATAGTAGTGTCACATCCAATAGTTAGTAATTTACCATATGAATTATAAGGAACATGGAGATGACTCTTATAAGCTACAGAATTATGTCCACGCTCATTAATACACGATGACATACTTCTGGGAAATATTGTACTACTACGAGATTTCATAGATAACTCTCCACAAACTTTATCATCACAATTATACGTAGACATGTATTTTGCATCGAGCGGCCTCATCGTCGTCATTGTCACCGTCGGAGTTTTATGATAAAATAAAAGCGACCTATTAGTATTTACCAGTCTGATGTTATCAAGAGTACAATGTTTTAATGGATATGTTGGAGCAGATAAAGTGGATAGTTTTCTATCCAAATATTTACCATTGCAACGAATGTTGTCAGCATTTGCATTATTATTATTATTTTCAAAGTTATCACCATTTATGCAGATGATAGGACAATGAGAGTTTGAAGTTTCCAACTGTTTATCAGTCATAGTATTTTTGAAATAAGATTTAGATGGACGATCACAATGATAGTAGTACTGATAATTGCTCTCGTGACCACATGTATTAGCCCCAGTGCAAAATGAACATGAAACTAATAAGTTGGAAAGTAAAGATTTCATACGCTTAGAATGGTTTGGTTTACACACAGGTGAAAATACATTATGAACATGTTTAGGATATATTCGTCTACATAAAAAACATAGACGTAGAAAAACGTGATGAGAGTAAAAATGTGCGGAAAAACGATTGCGTCACACATAGAAGGAGAAATGGGGCCATATGTTGCACATTATTAATAGTAGGAAAACAAATCGCATACCCATACATGTATGTACAGTAGTATCGGAACAGCATATGAAAACAACAATCGGAGAAAAACAAAATGTAGTGCAACAAATACTTAATCTTTATAAATATTAACATTCTGAACAAAATATATCAAATGATGATCCCTCAATTAAAAACAACAAATTATTAACTAACTACCTTTCCAAGTGAACTAGGAGTGAATAAACTTTTCTGCTGATTTGGTGGAATTAAATTATTCGATACATTCGGTGTTGACGATGAACGTTCTCTACAGGTTAGTGATAAACACTGACGAGGAAAATGTCCGCCTCCACTTCCGAAAGATGCTGGAAGATATTGACTATTCAATAGAAGATTATTACTATCGAAACCACCTCCAGTAGAATTAGTCAATACACGAACTGTTGTTAGGTCTTCAGGATTAAAATGATAGAAATGTGTATAGCCTGGTGTTGCATTTGAAGAAACTAACCAATTTGATCCGTGTATAGATGAATTAGATGTACCCAAAGAGCTATTTATGGAAGGAGAGGTTAATAAATAATTCCAGTATTGAAACAGATAATAATCATGTAACGAAATATGTAAGATATGATGAAGTTCAATCATACAATCTTATGTTAATTAGCAGGTTTTCTTGTCAACCACGTTATTAGACAGATACACATAATTCCGCTTTACAACAAAAAATAAGAACATTTCCCTTAAAATTCCTAGAATGGAAAAATTGATTGAAGTGGAGGAGAGTGAAATCTGCCACTTTAACAATGAGGTCTGCGGTAAGTGTTTTACTGTTGTTTGAACAAGCTTGAAATGATAAAAGTGTTTTTCGATCGGTCAGCATTTCAAAACCAATCGTGGAACACCAGCCTAGATTCAGAATGTACAAATTGCAAGCAAAATATACTTAAGGTTTTGCTGGCTTTTAATTTTTTAAATTCAAATATACAAGATAAACAATAAGGAACCATTAACAATGACTTACTTTCGACTGCTTAGTTGATCACCAACATAGAAAACATCATCATCTAAATTAGACAAACAATTCTTATCCACACGTGGAAGACAACGATTATGATAGGCGCAACCACAGGCTTTACATATAGCACCTATAAATGTAATTTTTTATGCAAACGTATAAACAAATGGAAACAACTTACCATGGAATATAGACTTATGGCATAGATTACAATAGGCTTTTTCAAAAAATGTCTTTCTTTGAAAATGATGTTCTAAACGTTTAACGTTCCGTCGAGCAAAATCAACTACTAATTCTTCACCAATTAAAGCAATTTGTTCAGCGTCATCTTCCCATGAAACTGGTAGACTAGTTCATTTTTATATTTGAATCCCGAGCAAAATTTCAGGAAAAACAAATCATAATAAATGAGAATTTAATCACAAGAGAAATATTTACATGGATAGTAATAGAAAAGTTAAAAATATTCTGCAATATTATGGTCTGAACCTGAAACAGTATAACAACTGATGATCGAGTACTTTGATGAAAACCGTTCATTCGACTACAACAACAAAATTCAGGCTACTGGATTCACGAATTATCCATAACTTTCCCATCAAACGTAGATAAACAACCCGATAGAAATATTGAACGCTCAGCTATAGGTGACTACGTCTTGCAGAGTGAGGAAATGCACCCATCAAAGCATTTAGCGATATAAACTCTACAATGAAACAGGAGACGAGACAGTAGCTATTATTTATTATATTTATTTATTTTAACACATATGATCTTGAGTGATTGAAAGGAGCTCCGAACCGGAGTTTGCATCCCATACTTTGGCAGTGAAATCCGCTGCCCCTGTAGCAGCCTTAGTAGCATGTTTATCTAAGACACATGACCAGACAGCTCGGGGTGTGGCCCCCTAAGAAAACCACCTGCTTCGGTTTGGGCACCCGAGCAGTATCACAGCCCTCACACAAATCAATTGAGATTTGTGTGGCGCATATGTATTTGGTGCCTTCCTGTACCTATACTTATGTGTTAAAATAAATAAATAAATAAATAAATAAATTTTAACACATAAGTATAGGTACAGGGAGGCACCAAATACATATGCGCCACACGAATCTCAATTGGTTTGTGTGAGGGCTGTGATACTGCTCGGGTGCCCAAACCGAAGCAGGTGGTTTTCTTAGGGGGCCACACCCCGAGCCTTCGACCTGGACGTCTGACCCACAAGGCAGTGGAGCATCGTGAGGAGATGCAGTCCCATGGTAGCCGGTGACCAACGATTGGTTCATACGCCATTTGTTCCTTCAGGATACTGGAGCCCATGTGCACAGTAGCTAACATTATCTACAACATACACCAATTTTAATATTTAAAGACTGATCTTGTCTGCTGTAACATGTAAAGCACACAGGAACATGAAATATTCTACTGCTTTCAAAACGTTTAAGTCAATGAGGTAAGAGCAGAGATGAGAGATTTTCTAATTCCAGGTAATTGATTTACGACTGATGCAGAGTATCAAACTTAGGAGGTGAGTTAAATACATTTTTAACGACTTCTATGTTATTATGCAATGGGAAGATACTGAAACGTACTTGTCAGAGTAACAACATTATACAACCTGAAGAATATCATACATGAGAATAGTTGGTGGAAAATTGTAGATAGTGAGCACATGGTGATCATTATATAGAAAAACTTCGAATGAGACTCAACTTAGCCCATACAATTCAATTTCCAAAGCGTTTCTATTATATATTGTTGTTACAACAGAATATGATGACACATTTGTAGGATTTATACCCAAGACTTTATTAACACAACTTTGAGAAATCCTAGCATATATAAGTACGTACTTATAAAATAGTAACCAATGGAAATAATTACCCTGTACGTGATCGGTAAACAATTAACTGTTCTAAGTGAAGACCACGATGTGATAATTTCTTTTCTAAAGCATGTTTAATTTGTTGACCAGATTTAATTTCAACTAATGTAAATTGACTGTTTGGGAAGTGTGCACGTAGACGTAGTTTTGTTGTTGTTGGGTGAGATGATTTAAACTCGGACGATTTATTATTAACACTTTGTAGAGTTCCTAAAGAAGATGAATTATCTAGTTGAACTGGAGAGTTAGTTGACGATAATAACACGGATGGAAGAGACGGAGACTGGGATGACGCAACAATAGGTAATTTGGTTGACCCAAGTGTCAAATTGATACTGTCATCCCCATTGTTATTATTACTAAGATTATTGACATTACTACCGCTAGTTGTACTATTAGTACTGTTATTCAACATCACGGTTGTCACCATCATCATATATTGATCAAGTTTCGATTTCCAATCTTCCAGTTCACATGTATACCTATCTATAGCTGACTGAACAATATTAATATCGTTAGAAACTTCATCGTATTCTTTTGTAATTAAACCGGAGAAGTCTTCGTGACGATTGATGAAATTCAATAGTTGATAAGTTTTCAATTGTAAGGCCTGATTAACCAAAGTGAAATCTGCAATCTATCAAAAGAAAAAACCAGGAACGAAAGTAATACCTGACAAATGGTAAAATAGATCAGGATAAGACATCACTTTTTAAAAGGTATAAATCATTTAAGGAGTTACTATCCGTGAACAACCTGAATATGCTATAATACTTTCATATTTTAACTAGTGAGAAGTTTACTATATATCTTATATTGCACCCCCATCCCCGTCATTTAGTCGACTAAAAGATTTGTAATCTCTGAGTTATCACTTTTTAATTGTGCAAATATTACAATAAAATGTATTTTTCATAAAATTTGACCTGGTCAGTCGATTATATTGATTACCTAATTTACATGTTTTATAATAATCTTACAATCGATCGTAAAGCTAGATACTGGGAAGATTAGGTGAAATCATCATAGCTATTTGTGTATTTTCTTCATTTATTTTTTGGAGAGAAGATAAACAGATAAGATGGATTTCATGGACAATGTATATGTATTGTATGATAAAATAAATACATCAAATCACATACGTTTATTTCGTGTTTAGGACTCTTCACCTAACCAGTTAAATGATATTAAATAGGGTGGTTATTATTTCAGCCAAAAAGATATTAAACAGTTTACATAAAATCAACAGATAAAATAACAGTTATGAAATGGTACTAACCTTGCTTTTTAAAGTGTCACATTTTTGTTGGAGAATAGGTATAATAGTTACCGCAGAATCCACGGTCATTGTGCAGAATAATTACTTGTAATAATAAGCTTACAATAAACTGACTTGAATTTATACAGAACAGGTAAAGTAGTTGTTTTTATCCGAAAAAATCTAAATAAATAAAAAAGGAGACACAGGATTTTAAAACTTATCAACATTAACTCTAAAATGTCAATGTTCCATGTGGTCACAACTAAATTCAATCAGTAATGGAATTTTTGGGAAAATGACCCATCCACATTATGCAAAAGCATAATACTTCCAATGAGTTGAATGATATGTTGTTCCACATTACAAATGGGGGGAGAAAAACTATGAGACATATGAGCAATAAACAATAATTGTTGTGACAACGGTAGTAGAGAAATAAAATATTAGGGACAGTATATTAGACAAAAAGTAGAATATATAATAAACAGTCAAATGTACATTAAAACTAAGTGAAAAATGTGCCATCAAGATCAAATTTGTGTCAGTCAGTCAGTAACAACGTGGAAGTTCGTACGTACGTACATCAGTTCAAGTTGCCATACCACATTAGCACAGAGATGCAATTGTCGATTCAAATCCCATAGTGGTAGTGAAAGTATAAGTAGTAATAGGGAACATTAGGGTTTGATCATGTTATTTAAGGAGTATAGTCCAGTGGAATAAATTTGGAAAGAAAATAAAGGATATAAAGAATTCAGAAGATTAGAGTTTGGGAGAACACAAAGAGTGGATGCACCTGCGCCATTGCAAACGATTTTGAGCCATGTCATTCAAAGTCTCTAACCATCGGTTGCTATCGTCTAGTGGACCCCAATCAGATAGTCTACACCTATTAACATGGATCAGTCCACTTTTCAGTGACTTCATGGATTTGTGCCATGTTTTGGTCTGGCCGCCCCTAGCTTTCTTCCAACCTACTCCTACACCATGAAACATCGCACGTCGGGGCAGTCGGTGGTCGAGCACATGTAACACATGTCCCAGCCATCTCTACTGATTAAGTTTCACTAATTCATCAACCGATTTGCCATCCTTACCTAGTACCCGTTTCCTAACAACTGAATTACTTACTCCCTGGTCCCAGGATATACGAGCAATGTTTCAAAAATATCTATGGTCGAATACTAGAAACCTACGAATATCGTCTACTCTTACCGGCCATGTTTCACTGCCATAAAGTAGGACGGAACAAACTGCTGCTCAGTAAACCCGTCTTTTGGTTGATAGACGGATATCTCGCCTACGCCACAAATGACGCAAGTTGGCAAAAGCTACTCGAGCCTTCTGTATCCGTGCTGAGATTTCGTCACACACCAGACCACAAGGGCTGATGAGACTCCCAAGATAAGTGAAGCGGTCGACACGCTCAACTACTTCACTCCCTATCACTAGTTCGGGCGGCGATGTAACCCAATCCTGAAGCAACATTTTGCATTTCGAGGGAGAAAATCGCATGCCGAACATGCCTGCATTGTTGCTTAGAGTGGTCAGCAGACTCTGCATTTTGTCAGCGTCTTCACCAAATAGAACTATGTCATCGGCATACTCTAAGTCAACAAGTGAATCTTTCGGTAGAAGTTCAACGCCTGGAAAGTCAGATGTGGAAAGTGTTATCTCTAAAAGCACGTCAACGACAAAGTTAAACAAGAATGGAGAGAGTGGACAGCCCTGACGAACACCACTTGAGGTAATCAGTTTTGATGACAGCTCGCAATAAGCTCTCACTCGACCAGTTGTGTTCGAGTAGAGAGCCTTTACAAGGTTAATGTACTTCTTTGGCATTCCATTCAGTGACAAACACTGCCATAGAACCTCACGATCAACAGAGTCAAATGCCGCCTTAAGGTCGAGAAATACTACCATTGTGGGGTGTCTGAATGTGTGTCTATGTTCTAGGACCTGACATAGTGTGAATATCTGGTCTATACAACCACGTCCAGGTAGAAAACCAGCCTGGTTTTCTCTAGTCTGCTCTTCACGAACTTTGGTTAGGCGTCGAAGTATTATTGAAGCTAATATTTTAGACACTGTTAGTCAGACTAATTCCTCTGTGATTGTCACAAGAAGACTTTTGTCCTTTCTTATAGACTGGCACAATCAGTGATTGAGACTAGTCAGATGGGATTTGTTTCAAATGAAGAGGATTCTTATTATTTTTGGACTCCACAAATCCCACATTAGAAAGTACTACCATGTAAGAGCGATGATACAAAGACGCTCTGTGATCATATAATTACTACTACTGAGCAGACTAGAGTGGTTCATGTACAACGAAATATACATTCTATGGGTAACTAGATATCACGCAACACGAGTGGCGTTAGCTGAAAATAACTAAACAAGCTTTCTGTACTCACACCGACCTACTAGAGATGAAACACCACAGATAATACCACCGTTCAAATCAGTTAACAAGTTCATTCATTTTAGTCTTTCTTTTACGACTGACGTTGATTCGTTGAGATCTATGTATTCAAATTAATTACTTTCCAAGAATGTGTTCAAACGCCAAAGGGATTACCATCAGATTTTGTTACTTATGACAGACTGATAACCTTTCCTATAGTCGACAAAAAGACAACACGTTTGATACGATAGACGTTTGCTAAAAGTAAAAGTTATGAAATAATGTGATTGATGGGTCGCTTCAGTAAGATCTACTAGGTTCTAAACCAGAAGTCCGACTTAAACATTGAGGCTTGCCTTTCATAACTCTGACACTACAAGAATAACATAGTGGTTAGGAACGCCGACCTAGAGGTGTTGTGCCACTTATAAATTATGGGTACACCTTTTTTATTTGATTACAGTTGATCGAATCAGGACAGTGATCACTTACGGTCTTACAAAGGCATACGATTTCAATGAACAATTCAAACAGAATAGTGACTTAAATCCCAAGCCGAATATGGAGCCCTTGGTAGGGGCTTATTCATCTATGTCACTTGCCATAAAAGAGCGTACAGGTTTAAATGACCTGTACATACGTAACAATTATTCCCATAACATTTCAATCATTCCATGATATTTAACTGGAAGTCACGTTTAAATTACGTAATATGTAACCAGTATTGTTATTTACATTAGTTAATACACAACTCACTACAATAAGTTATATATTTTAGCCGCTGAAGTTTACTACTGGTATTAGATTTCAGATTTGTATAGAAAGGACAGAAGGCCTACGGCCTATGTTATACCTTTTCTAGTTTGCTTCTGTGAGTGTCCAGACCTCTTGAAAAAGTCAATTGGAGGTGCGGACACCACTGCTTCGGGCAGCAGGTTCCAAGTATTGATGACTCGGTGTGAGAACCTGTATGCCACGGGTATTTTGTTCGTTCTTGGCTTTTCGACTCGCCTGCTATGTCCTCTGAGATGTCCCGATCTAGTGGGAAGAAAAAGAGAGAGTAAGTTGGGTCCAAGATCGTTTCTCAGTATTCTGTACATCAAAATTAAAACTCCCCTTAATTTGCAATAGGACAGTGTGAAGAGATCTAGCTTTCCAAGCCGCTCTCTGTGTGGTAAACCCCGGAGTTCTAAAATCGCATGGGTAGCTGCCCTCTGTACTTTTTCTAGGATATCCGAATCGCCTTTTAAACACGGGCTTGCGGCCTGAACGCAGTTCTCAAGCTTAGTTCTCACTAAGGACGTGTATACTTTGGTGAACATGATAGTATCTAGCTTAGTGAATGTCCGTTTTAATGTCCAGAGGGTTCGAAACCCATTAGCTGCGACCTCCCGGCAATCGGCCCTCACCTTAAGATCCTGACTTACTGTCACCCCCAGATCCTTATGAGATCGAACCACTGGTAATTGCACTTCCCCTATGTTATACCTACTAACATTTGAGTCCCTGAAGTGCATGTAGACACACTTTGCCGCGTTGATAGACATCAGCCACTTTTTAGACCAGTTAATCATATTATTTAGGTCTGCCTGAAGAGCATATGAGTTTGTGTCTCCAGTTATTACTCGCCAGATCTTTACATCGTCAGCGTATAATAACATTGGAGACTGTACTATACTTGGAAGATCATTGACATACATTATAAAAAATAAAGGACCTAGGACGGAACCTTGAGGTACTCCACTAAGTACTGGTCTCCAGATGGAGCATTTGGAATTTATTCTTACCTTCTGTCTACGACCTACATGAAATCCGTAATCCTTAAACGGGAAGATTCATCAGTTGTGGGTGTGATTATATCTTGCTAAACGCCAGAACTTTTATCAGATATGCCTTAATGTGGTCTTTTGCCAGATATAACTTTACGTTAAAAACAGCGCGTCAAAAACATTTAACAACCAAAACTGAGAATCCGTTCCGTCAAATCCGAAATGTTGGTGACTGTTTTGCAATGTCCAATTTGGTTGTGATCAAGTCAATATTCGTCTACTAATATCACATTGACAAGTATACCTTTCTCTGAGAACTTAGTCTGTGAGACAAGATCTCACAGTTAAGCCCGTTTGATTATTTGAAGGGTTCCACTAGGCTAGCCGTATTTCCATTCAAATTAAAATGAATTTGCTGTGAAATAATAACTATTCACATGATCGCTACTCTGTAGTGTGATTTGTATCACTACACATTATGTGGATTCGTGTTACCCAATGTAAGAAAATATAGAGATTTAGGTGTCATACTAAGCAGTGATCTCAAAACTATATGTCACTGTAAGGCCACTGCTGAAAAATGCTTTAGGGTATTATGATCTATTCGCAGGTCTTTCCAGTATTGAAATATTTAGTTTATTATACATGACTTAGGTGCGACCAAATTGCAATATGGGATTCAAGCAGCGAGTCCTTGTTTCAAGTATAAGATGGGTGTTTTGGAGCGCATCCAACGACGAGGACTAAGATAACAGGTCTATCCGGCCTATCTGATGAAGACAGACTGAATCACCTTAGCTTATTTCCATTATCTCACTACAAATTACGGGTTGGTCTAATATTAGGTTACCGTATACTGAACGATGACCTATGTGTTAATATGTCTTATCTTTTCCTTCCGTCAAGGACTG